AAACCCTGATTTTTAGACACTGATCCTTCATTCTTAATTCTTCTATCAGGAGAATTGTTCTGAGGAAGGGCCTCTGGACCCGAAACATTAACTCTTTCTTCCTTCACAGATGTTGCCAGACCTGCTGAGCTTTTCCAGCAACTTTGCTTTTGTTCCTGATTTACAGCATCCGCAGTTCTTTCGGCTTTTATTTAACATCACCATAATGCTGCAGCAACAATAAACAAACACCATTTATGGTTCATAGGTGGCATGGCTGACACCTCCTTACAAATGCAACTGCACAGTCCTACACTGTAGGCACCAGGCCCCACAGTATACCTGCCCTTAGCCACTTTCCCTTTTACAAACCTTTAAGGCACTGCTCCTGTTTCCCAAATGCACACTGTAGCCTGGCATCTTAGCATTGTTCAATGTGGGACTATCACATATGGGGAAGATTTCAAAATGTTCATCTTTATTCACCAACACCAAAAGGGAACAGAAATAAAACAGTCAGAAGTTACATTTATCTCTCAGAATAGAAATAACCTACTTGCATGTTTAGCACTGATAATTTTAGGGTCAATGAAAGATCATTGCACACAACTCTCATCTACTGTAACTTTGTGTTAGTTAAATCCTGACTGGTTTGTAGCGCCTGACACTGCTGTGCTGTATCATGCAGAAGATGATGTTCCTCCTGCTGAATGTCCTCATCCTCCTCCTCCTCGGAAGACTGCTCACACTCACCTAACTTGCCACAACCATCACGTCCCTTCCTTGCCTGATCCAATTATCCAGAACACAACATGCTAGGACAGTTTGGGCACACTCTGTCTGGAATTTACTCCAAGGCCCCCAAAACCAACCCTAGCTTCAGAACTACATCTTTTGGAGATCTATCGTCTGCCCCACATTGGCCTAGGTCAAATAATGGACTGCATTTTTCTACTGTCTGCATCAGTCAGGAGGTTGCATGATTGAGTCAGCAGCCACAAAGAATAGTGCTTGTCCCCTAGTAACAATCCTTGTAAGGCATTTGGCTCCTCAAACACACCAAGAAGACAAGACTTCTCAAGGATAGAATTATCATCGCAGATCCCACAGCATGTGCACTAACTTCTGAGCAATAGTACCAATGATCACAGATCACTTGCACTTTGCTGGGATGGAAGCCTTTTCTACTGATGAACTCAGTGGCCTTTCTCAATGTGACTTGAGTATAATCTGTAGTACCCTGCACCCAGGGAACCCAGCTATGTTGCCAAATCCTACTGCCCGGGCTGTAATCATGGTAAAACATGATGAAGCAGTGTGACCTTAATACATCGTGAGTGGATGATTGAGATACCCCACAGGTCTCCAGTTGTTCTTTGGAAGGAACAAGTTGCATAAAAGTTAAATTTTTTCTCTCTGACAGCTACTGGGACAGGAAGGATTCCCACTCTTTCATGTTGCAGATCTCGCTCCAGCAGTTGACATTGTTCTGTGAAAGTGTCCCGCTACAACCTCAGTCTGTGTGGAAACTGTGCCTTGCTCTTCTGGATGAAATGACATAAAGGACAACAGAATCTGGCCCTTCTGTACCTCCTGCATACCCGGATGTGACCTTCAGCTGTGGCCTCTTTGTGTGCAGTATGCTTGGTAGCAGCTAGAGGTTGCTGCTTGTCCTGGACCCATTGCCACATCTATTCCTTTTCCATTTGGATGTGTCTTTAAACAGAGCAATAACATTTGCTGTGATTCGATCCATTAGTCATGTTTGCAATGAACCTGTATGGGGTATATACAGAATAGAACAGAGCCATAGGCAATGTTAGCAGTCAGTATTTGCATCACTCACAAATGACAGCCTGATATATTCCTCTATACAGTGAGGCATGGAGCACTCCAACAAGGAGGGCCATGGGATGCCTCAACATAGAACTTTGACATTGGACTTTATTCTGATTAAAGCACCACTGGTCATGTCACAAAGAGACAGTAGGACATTGCAATTGCTGCATGAGCACTGAACCTTTTCTCTTCCCAGCCCTGCATCAACCATGAAAGGCATTGTTGAATTTAAGAGAGTCTTACATTACATTTATAACTCAATTTGATAAGGAATCAGTTCAATGCAACAGTGTAGCCTGAAGTATTGCATCATCTTTGTGCTTTGTAACCAGCAGGACCCTCTTTTTAGGCTGCCTGGGATGCGTTCAGCCTCACAGAGATGACCATCTCCAATCTGCAAGGACCAATAACTTGGTCAATATTGCTTATGACCTCATGCAGTCGGGCACTGCATGCTGTTTATATGCATAGAATATCTTCCTTGGATCAAGAGACCACTATTCCAGGTGTGGTCTCACAAGGACGTGTACAACTGCAGGAAGACATCTTGGCTCCTGTACTTGAATCTTCTTGCTATGAAGGCCAAAATACCATTTGCCTTTTTCACCACATGCTGCACTTGCATGTTTACTTTCAGAGACTGGTGTACAAGGACACCCAGGTCTTCCTATTTAATAATGATATGATTTCAATGACTTCATCCTGTACTCTACTCATGAATGATTGATGCAATTACCATTTGAAGGTTCTCCTGTTGCTCACAAGTGGTGCCTGCATTGTGAGTCAGCATAAAAAGCACTGAGTCCACCCATTCCAGGTGTGGTTGCAGCCATTTGCCATTTTTAGAACACGTTTAAGAATTGAGAGATCACAGAAGACAAAGCTGGGCTTGCTGTACACGGTGAGTCCCAGGCTCAGCATTGTCATCGTGCCTCCTTCAAACTCTGTGCTCTCTTCCATTTGTCAATCCCTTGACAGCCCATCATAACTGTTCTCCCACATTTTCCAATCCAGCATCTGGAGCTACGACTGCAGCTGTCTTCCTTACCGGCTGAACCCTAGCCCTACAGTTTAGTCCTGTCCACCATCATAATGCACATTCCCCTCGCCAAGGCTGTGGAGGTAGTGACCAGGTTTTACCACCCCCGCAGCAACTACTGGCTCTCCCCATCCATCTCTCCCCCAACCTTACCTGTGAAGACTCCCCGCTTCATCGCCCTGTCCCCTCAGTATCCCAGTTGTCGGCGCCAATCTGCAGCATTGATTCCCTTGACTTTCTTAGTACAGAGTTCCCTGTTCTTCCCCTCCACCCCAAGAGATCATTTCTCAGACTCTCAGCATGACTGTGGCCCAACCCCATGACCAACTTGGACTCCTCCCCTTCAACCTTGAGACATAGCCATTTGGTTGATGCACATGCAGCGTGTTTACTGTGTGGGCTGCTGTTCGACATAGCAATTTACAATAGAACAACATGTCCAGTTTCCTTTACTCATGAGTGCTGAGAACCATTACAAGTTGCCTGGCTTTATGTGTGCATTAAAAATCAAAGCAAACCAGAAATGCTGAGTGCCTTTAAGATCTGGTTAAGGAGTCAAAATGTCAAAAAGGCAAGGTGAGGCAGGGATGTTGTGAACATCCAGTTGGTGCAAAGTGAGTGTTCGCTTAGCGAGCGAGTGAACAGACCTAAGATGTAGCGTGGTAAGGTGCATGAGCTGTCCTTGTGTGTACCAAGTATCCTTTCCAACGAGAAATGCTAGTGCATTCCAAAGTGCAACACGAGGGTGCAGAGGCCTTTTGGAAGTTGATCAGAGATGTGTCATGATGATGCAGAGGGTGGGGCACATGTTGAATTGAATTGAATCATTTATTGTCACGTGTATTCAATATAAAGTACAATAAAAGACGTGTAGTCTTGCTATGCATAGGCGCCATTCACATTAACTTAAAATAAAATGAACAATAATGAAAGATAACTTAAAGAGAGTCCAACTTTTCCATTTCTGCTGCTACAGTCCTGCCTAGGCTACACCAGCTCATGCCATGCTGCTGCCACAGTCCCCGCTCCAGGTTTCATCAGCCCACACCATTCCGCTGCCAAAAGCCCACTCTGGACTACACCAGGTCATGCCATGCCACTACCAGGGGCCCACTCCGTGCAGAAGTGAGAGTCCTGATCCAGGCTTCATAGGCCATCCAACTCTGTAGCCATGCTGCCTCTGAAGATGCCAACGCCACTCCAGAACACATCGAAGTCGCCTTCCTATTGAAGAGCTCTCTTTATCAAGTAAGTTCGAATGAAAACTAAATAAAACTGAGAAAAAGAAGGGGAAAAATGGAAAATGAAAAAGCGGACGAAGAAGACAAGCCCAGGCAGAGAAGCCTGAATGCTGCCTACTCCATGCCGCCATGTTGGTTAGTGTCACTGTGTTGGATGCCAGTGTCCATAGATATAGGGTGCACATCATTTCTGCCCTGGAGCATGACCTGAGATGTTGGTTCTACGTATCTAAAATGGAGGTGCAGCTGAAGTCACCAGGTACCTGTCAGTCTTCATATCAGGAATGCTTGGCATCTGATTAATATCCAGCTGGTGGGAGAATGGGAGAGAGGACGTTAATGAGGTGGTTTAAGATTATGATGTGGATAATCCCTGTAATATGCCTCTCACCACACACTACCAAGAATTTCATCTCAACGTTTGGGACTTGGTTGTAAAATGCAACTTGTTCGTCTTGATGTTGTGAAAAGCCTCACTCAACATCTTGTGTAAATCTCCCAAGTTTCTTGCCACAGCCTATGTTGGTCAGGGCATGATAAAATTTCACCTGTGGAACTTAGAAACAGATTCGTCATGATCTTATTGAAAGAAGCAGGCTCGAGGAATGAATGGTCTACATCTGCACCTATTTTGTATGTTTATATGTTGAAACCTGACAATAGGGATGTACAGTTGAAGGTTTGTGAAGGGCTGGATAGTGTGGAATGGCAGATAAAGTGCCTTCCAGGAACATAGTTTTCACCTGTCTAGCAGTGGAAGCACTTTCTGAGAGAAGGCATATTTTGATCAGTAATCTCTGAAAGAACATGGCTGAAGTTTACAGTGTAACTGATCATAGGCTCCCAGGTTATCAGTTTTGCCTTTTGTGACCTGCCCTGAACAAGGTTCTTTATGGTTCCAGACAGAACACCTCAAACCATTGAGCTCCCAAGTGAGGAGGGTGAACAGGCACCCCGTCGTTATTCACTCTCTCTCTCGGCTGGACGCAACAAAGTTCATTTTAAAAGGCTTTCTTCCGTTGTGGATACTTCACTTCCAGACCAAAAGGAACTGTGTCTTTAATGAGCAGAAACAGTGAGTTTATTAATTTTGAAACATGAAGAAATTGTAACAATCCACATACATCCAGATTAGAATTAAGAGGCAAGTTACAAAAAGATGAAAGTCTTTAAAAAATCAGTCGCTGAATTGTTTATGGCTGTTGCAATGGATGTCACCAACAGCATTGATGTTGGTAGTTGAACAAACCGTTTTGAGATACTGGAGTTTGGCTTATTCCTTTTGGCAGCGGTTGACTGACAGCACTAAAAGTGAGAGAGAATACCTTTCAAGACAACAAGGTGCAGGGCTGGATGAACACAGCAGGCCAAGCAGCATCATAGGAGCAGAGAGGCTGACGTTTCGGGCCTAGACCCTTCATCAGAAAAGGGGGAGGGGAAGGGGGTTCTGAAATAAATAGGGAGAGAGTGGGAAGCGGATAGAAGATGAATACCTTTCATTGTCCTTTTACATGAAGTGCAGGAACATTAAAATAATGTTTTCAGAGCTGTGACCCTCACAGCACAAGTCCACACATTAGGACGTCAGGCCACTCACATACACTGACCAGGGTTGAAGCTCATCTTTAACCTCTGTGCCTCTGTTTTCATGAAAGAAGGAAAATACAATTGTACCTGTCACCAAACGGTTGTATTTTTTTGCCATCATATTAACAATCTGAATTGAATTGAATTAGCTTTATTGCCACATGTACTGAAATGAGTACAGCAAAATGTTTACAAATCTCCATTTACAGTGCCATCTTAGGTACTATGTTACAAGGAGATGAGAAGTTCAGTTTGTAGTGCATTTTCTCCCTGTAAATCTTCTTTGACACCTTGTCATGCAAATGACATCAGTCTCTTTCTTTCTCTCTATCCAGACAGCTACTGGATTCATAGCTGCAAATGGCTTTTGAATATATGTCCTTTTTAAAAAAAGTTGCGTTGCAATTAAGATTTGATAGGTCCATCCAGGGTGGGCTAAGATCCCTGGTCATGGCACACCATATAAACGCTTATTGTGTACATACTTCAATGACCCTGATGAGTTGTTAACAGAGCAGGAAACAGATGCCCAGCTGATAAATCTCTCATTGGCTGCTTAATCTCAACCACTTAATTACAAGACGGATCCAAGAAGGTTCCCTACTCACCTTCAACACTGCCCTGAGGAAAGCTAGAACCCCGCATGATCATACAGTACCTAATCCAATGTCAGTTTTTTTTTTCAAAATTTACCATCCACTCACCCCTGAACCTACCTCCACAGGGCTGGGAAAATTCTTGCTAACATTTCAGGCCAGTGAGCTTTCACCATGTTCTCCTGGCTCTGAAGAAAGGTCATCAACAGAAGCTCAAATCTTGTTTTTCTGTCCACAAGTATTGACCGACCAACTGATCATTTGCTGCTTTGTTTGGAAATGTAAGGAATTTGATCTAGCAATGTATTGTACAGTATGGTCACTTTGAATCCAGGTACAATTTGAAGCTTGTAGTGGATACATGTCAGTTTATAATGACAAAATAGAATTATTCTTTGTTCCATTTTGCCACTTTCCTTGCCCAGCTGGGACAACATAATGCAAGGGGCAGCACTTGCACAAAGGCCTGAAACGTTAAACATGTATTGTCAGGCGACAATGGAAAGTAATGCTGTAAGCAAGTTCCAAGAAAAGAGGCCAACATTCAGGCCTCTATTAGATGGGTTTCCAGTAAAATATGGGCAGCTTTCCAGTTCAGATTCCAAACTTTGTTGTGAATTATGGTGTGTTTACTAAGATGTCAACTTTGTTTGTTTTTAACCTATTCAGTCAGCAGACTGATGAAATAGCATGGTTGTTCAAAGGAAACCATTGTGTGTTGTTTCTGTCATGAACAATGACTTTGAAAAAAGTGAAATTTAATGAGTTGATTTTCCTTCTATTGGATCGTAATAGCTGTTCTATTTCTATTAGCATAGTTAATGATTATTTGCATCAATTGTGACACATGATACATTATATACATCTTTTAAACTTCTATGTTTTAAATGCAAAACTTTTAATTGTAGAACTAATGAACAGTGATCAAGAAGAAATGTTTTCATGTAATATTTTTATTTATATTTTGAAGAATATAGGCATATTAACAAGTTAGCAACATTTCTGATGAATGTTCAAGTTCTTTGATGTTTTAGAAGTGCTCAGACTTCAATTTGGAAATTTAAAGATGAAGATGGGCAGCACGATGGCTCAATGCTGCCTCACAGCACCAGAGACCCGGGTTCGATTCCACCCTTCGGCCACTGTCTGTGTGAAGTTTGTATATTCTCCCCGTGTCTGCGTAGGTTTCCTCCGGTTTCCTCCCACAGTCCAAAACTGTGCAGACTAGGTGGATTGGCCACGCTAAATTGCCCATAGAGTTCAGGGATGTTTAGGTTAGGGGGATGGGTCTAGGTGAGATGTTCTAAGGGTCGGTGTGGACTTGTTGGGGTGAAGAGCCTGTTTCCACACTGTAGGAATTCTATGATTTATGATCTATATAGGTACTTAAAGTTCACATGGGAAAAGTTTGTGCAGTTCCCAATCTCAGGTGCTTCACCATTGGCCACACCTTCAGCTGCCAAGGCCTAGATTTTGGAATTTCCTCCATAAAATTTTCTGCCTCTCCTCTCTTTCAAGATTCTCCTTAAAAGCTATTTCCTTGATCATTCTTTTATTCACCTCACCTTCTATCTCCTTATGTGGCTTGGTGTTGTATTTTGTTTGATAACTCTCCTGTGAAGTGCCATGGAATGTTTTGAAGAGACAAAGGTACTATCTGAATCCCAGTTGCTAATGTTGTTATGCACAAAGTAGATTGTGAGCATTGGAAAATCTGAATCCTGACTACATATTGTCAGTATCCAGTGAACACTGTCGTTTTTATTTCAATGTCCATCCTTAATCACCAGTATAAATTTTCTAACTATGTCTACAAATACCATTTATACATCACGCAGTGGAAAGGAACACGTATCTGAGCTTACAAAAAACCTTGCGTTTGGATAACATCTTATTTGTTTCAGAAGAGAGCTCAAAACATTTCCTATGGAACACCATTCTATTACATGTGGTGATTTTTTTTAAAAAAGAGAGTTTCATTTATAGGATGTGTGTGTCGCAGACTGAGTCAGCATTTATTGTCCGTCCATAGTTGTCCTTGAGAATATGGTGCTGAGCTGCCTTCTGTAATTTTTGCAGTCCGTGTGCTATAGGTAGACCCACAATGCTGTTAGGGGGGAAATTGCAGGATTTTGACCCAGCCTTATTGTTGCTTTGTATGTAGATGTGCAACCCTATTTTGCAGGCATTAAGATCCCAATAAACAGCAGGAAACTGAACAGAGTTAAGCTGCTTTTGACAATATTGATTAACTGATTTGTGGCATTGTATAAACCGTCTTTCTGAAAGCAAAAATAATATTGTGTAGACTTAATTGAAAAAAATGGCACTTTATGTTGAAATATTTCAATGGATAGTCATGATAGTCATATTCCAACTGAAACCCTAACTTTATCCCATGGCTGAGTGAAACCAATGTTTTTTTTCACTTGTAGCTGGAAGCAGATCTCACTTTCAGATATCAATCATTAAGGATGTTGCTGAATGGTTATTTCTAATCAACAGTGAATACTTGGATTTCGTTTTATGATTAGTCTAATGGGGTGGCATGGTGGTTAGCACTGCTACCTCACAACGTCAGGGACCTGAGCTCAATTCCTCCCTTGGGCACTGTCTGCATGAAGTTTGCACATTCTTCTTATGTCTGTATGAGTTTCCTCCCAAGATGTGCGGGTTAGATGAATTGTCAATGTTAACTTGCCCTGTTTTGTCCTGGAGTGTGTAGGTAGATGGATTATCCATGGTACATGCAGGGTTACAAGGATAGGGTAAGGGGTGGGTCTGAATTAGATGCTCTTCTTAGGGTCTGTGTGGACTTGATGGGCTCAATGGCCTGCTTCCACGCTGTAGGGATTTTATGATTTTTTTTATGATTAGAAAACTTTGTCAAGTTTTGGTTTGGAAGCTAATGATCAGGAGTTCCTCAATTTTAGGACAAAATGCATTGATCGTCTGTATCGAACAAAAGGTGGTATTGAAGGGATGACATAGAAGTCTTGCCCACCTAGTCGCTGGACAGCAACAGCCCTGTATTGCCTCTATTAGGAAATGCCAGCTAAATTCCAGGCTTTTCCAAGATTCCAAAATCAAAAATTCAGCTGCATTTGAGGATGAAGCAACAGAGGTCCGACTGCCCGCTGAGAGCTAATACCCAGCAAATTTTATTAATCCACAGAGCATAGCAAAGCAAGAGAGCACAGAAATTCCAGTTAAAACCACAAAAAAGCTTTTCACAAACAAGTGACACACCCACCACCCACCCAACTCAAGATTCCAGCTTCAAGTGACAAGTTTCTGGGACTCCTAATTGCAGTCACTTTGATGTGGGAACCTCACATTTATGAGCACAGGCTCGTCATTTACAGAAAATTTGCACTCCAGAAGTTCACACAATATGTTCACATTTAACAGAGACCGTAGATCATTTTGCCTTAAAAGGTGAAGACACGCAACAAATTGGGATTTTGCAAAATCTACTCTAAACTGTTTACGGTTCAACGAGATCATCTAGGCAAACAATATTTGCCTCATGAGTATTTCAGTGATTGTTTTGTAAAAAAATACTGTTGTTACTTTAACTTCTTTGTTAAGAATCTAAGACCTGTGCCTCAGTCACCATATTGAACAGTTTTGTGCTTTACTGTTAGCCTAGCGCTTTTCAAGGTAATGCAATGCTCAAAAAACAAGAATTGGATTGATGAAGTAATGCGATACATTGCATATTATTATGTTTGATGGTGTCAGCAATAGCTCGTTCGGTAGAACCGTTACTTTTGAGTCAGAGGATTGTGAATTCTTGTCATACATGCAACTTAAGCAGCAAATCTTGGCATTGCAGCGGTGAGAGAACAAGTGTGAAGTGAGAAACTAAGGTCTGACCTGCTTCTAGGATGGGT